ATTAACCCCTTGACATACAAATAAAATGCGCATCGACGCGTCCGTAGAATAGCATTTAATTTGGCTCAACTGTGGACACTCATGTGCAAGCTTAGAAACAGAACGTTTTATTTTCAAATTTAATGCTATGTAAATAAAACAATAAAGTTGATATATAACGTTAATGTACAATAATTAAGTAATACTATAAAATAATAATTTAGTAGTTCTGTAAAGTATGATACATCTCAAAACATTTTGGAATATGTAGTGGAATCAGACATGTTTTACACTGCCAAGTTGTTTCACTTCTTATATTATGTTTGATGCACGCATGGCATCTGTTTGCAGGATGTTGCTTTTTATTTGTCGCAGGCATATGTTCGGGAAAATGTGCCAAATTTTTTAAACAAAATAGCATCCACGCACGATTGAAACAGGTAAAGAATCTAATATACTGCGCGACGTTCGCCGAAGACAATTCTTGACGTTTCCGAGACGTCAAAGTCTACAATGGCACATGAAATGAATGACGTCTCCCAGACGTCATTGTATGTCAAGGGGTTAATATTAATATTAATATTAATTATTATACGATTTCTTATTTACTGCTGGAAAAATATCATCAGTCTTATAGCAGAAAATTTTTCAACTCGTATACCTCTTTAGCCAAAAAATCGTCGAGTGCAAGGGGTTAATCCTTGAAATACCGTTTCGACGGTATTATTACTCATCAGGAAATATCATATCACCAATCTCGTACCCCAGGTAAAATCACGATGACACCTTGACGCTTGGTTATGATATATATGCCAAGTACCTGAAGTATGGAGCAGTTCGTTTTTCCGTTTGTAGACAACGACGAAGATCATTGGTCACCGTTCTCGACCAATAGCGGTTAATGACTGTGATCAAGGCAGTATTAGCGGAGTTAGACAACCGTGAGATTGTAAACACACTGTGCCTTCTTTTCGCGAACGCACAGTACAAAGTAAAAAGATTAACCTTCAATTGCCAAAGTACTTTTCTGCCACCATAGAGCATATTTGGTATTTACTACGTTATTTTATTGTATTACGATGCTTTACAAAGAGAAAATATTTCCTTTATCAGTAATTGAAGTGAAATTGGATGTTTTTAATTTCAGTATAAATGTATAAGTTAATATCACCATAGTCATAGTGTTATCAATAGTATACGCTGTCAATTTGACATCTCGTCACCACTTGAAAATCAACCCTTTGCACTCGAGAGGCGCCTCTCAGTTGCAATTTAATCAGATTCTAAACATCGATGTTAATTAATATATCAAATTAAAAATTGCCCAACGATGCACTGCAACGATGCAATGTCGAAATAAAATAATTCTACGTCTTACTTTGCATACGATTTGTTATTCACCGTTTTAAAAATATCATCGACTCTATGACAGAAAGTCTTCGAATTACTATTTTTCTTTAACGAAAAAATCGTCGAATGTAAAATGTTAAAACGAACTAAAAGATTCTTCCTTCCGAAAGAAAGAGAACGAAATGTTTCTTGAAAAATTCTTAATAAAATAAAATAAGTAAAGGAAAAAGGTGAAAGAAATAAGTATAGCATAAAAGACAAAATATGGTTATGTTCATTGACATAAATCGCAATGCAGTTGGAACAATATTCCCCCCAAAATAAGCCAAGTTCGTTCTTTTGATTACACTTAAACAAATGAAAAATTACTGTTTGAATGTCTTCCATTAAGCCGTAATGCCGTATTGTGGCTAGGTGAAAGAGATCCTAAGGAGACAGAAGGGAAGCTTGGCTCCCAGCGTTCCTTATTGAAGTCCATAAACCAAAGTACTGTAACAGAGAAAAATGAAACGGCCGTGAGTTCAAATCTTTTAGCGGGACACTGAGACTGAGATCGTCTTTGATCTTACCAGTGTAATACGCCTTCTCAGTGAAAAAAAATGAGTGGACTAACAAATAAAAGCAACAAAGAACGGCTGTTCATAAGGATCCTATAAGATCAAACAGAAGATTAATTGTTTTCTTCCGAGATCATATGACCGTGAGTTAAATTACTACGTTTAAGATCTTAAATATAAAATTTAAATATAAAAAATAAAATTTTAAATATTTTGAAACAAAGTTTTAATTATTTAAAATTTTAAATTTATTAAATTTTATTTAGTAATTTTTAATCACCTTAAATTTTAAATGTATTAAATTCTATTTAATAAGAATTAAAAATTACTAAATAAAATTTAATAAATTTAAAATTTAAAATAATTAAAACTTTGTTTCAAAATATACATTAATTATCGTAAATCATTTCTAAATTATTTAGGCTAAATTACTATACTAATAAATGGTCGAGTTTTTGATAAATAATGGAGGTAAATTAATCATGAAAATTAATCAATTTTATACAACGATGATAACATTTTTCTTTTCTTTTTCTCTTTGTTAGAGAGGTAATTTGGTTCAAAAAGCAATTTTTTAAGTTGAGGTTTAAAAGACATTATTGCAACCATTTTATGAGTATTTACTTATTTATAGTTTAAACATGGTTTTAATATCTTTTCTTTTTCTTTTTGGGGCGAGATTATTAAAAATTAGAAAAGTGAGAAATTAATTTCTCTCTAAAAGTACACATATTCAAGAATATTTTCCATAAATATCAGACTCGAATTCTTACAAATAGCACAGTTATAGCTGTTTCAGTGAGGTAGGGGCCACGTCATTATTCTTGGAATATGAAATTTTAAACGCGTATTTCTCGAAACGGTGTCAGTGATTTCTCAAAAAGTATTTGATAAACAAGCACGAAATTTTACAGAAATATTCAGTGTATTTGTGACTAGGACTCCTGCGCGAATTATTCCAAAATTTGTATTTCTTCTATCCTTTTCGTACTCGTATATTTGAAAGGAAAGAGAAAGAGTCGATAAGATACATCAACCCCAAAATGGCTGAATACAAACTTCATGCGATTTCTTTCTAAGTCATTGTCAAAAATGTCGATTCTCTGACAGAGGAGCTTCAAATGGCTATTTCTATAGCGAAATATTTTCCTGTAGCAAAAAACTCTTTTACTACAAAGGGCTAATTGTCATATTAATCAATAGACGAATCGAAAAAGTGTAAAATTCGCTGTCTAGTAATATAGCATATATAAATACAGTATATGAATACAGTGCAGAATACAGTAAAATTAATATTTGATCATTTATATTACTATACTGTAAGTGAGTGGCTATACCTACATTATACAATAGCTAATAGAATTAATAGAATTATTTTGATTATTGCATATAGCTATATTTACTCTAATTACTATAATATATGAGAGTGCAGTTTACTGTACTGGATATAATAGTAAATAGATCCATTAATATTTTACTATTTATATTACTGTACTGTAAGTGAGTGACTACACATACATTATACTATAGCTAATAGAATTAATAGAATTATTTTGATTACTGCATATAGCGATATTTGATCTAATTATTATAGTATATAAAAGTTTAATTTACTGTACATGAATATTTTATTATTCATATTACTATACTGTAAGTGAGTGGCTACATATACATTACAGCTAATAGAATTAATAAAATTATTTTGATTACTGCATATAGCAATATTTTATATATTTACTATAGTACATGAGAGTACAGTTTTACTGTACTGGATATCATAGTAAATAGATCCATTAATATTTTATTATTTATATTACTATACTGTAAGTGAGTGGTTACACATACGTTATACAGTAGCCAATAGAATTAATACAATTATTTTGATTATTGCATATAGCGATATTTGATTTAATTACTATAGTATATGAGAATGCAGTTTGTGGTAATGGTTAATATAGATTTTTGAATACATATGTGTTGATATAATAAAGGAGCGATGCTGTAAGAAAGGGATGAGTGGGACAAGTATGCATGGGATGCTAATATCTAATGGATTCAGATTATTGTGATAAATAAATATGCGTGTAATGATTGTGGTGTGTGTGAATTGTGTATGTCATGTAATGCATGAAAGTAGTAAAAACAATCGAGAGAGATTGGGCATAGGTCAGTTGTAATTGAGTTATAATAATGAAAAGAGGTGTGAGTATGTGATTGCGAGAAATTAATTAGATTTGTACTTAATATTTTTGTTTGATCATTTTTTGTAATTAAATAAAGAATTGTTCTTATTGTTATTGATATTTCATCCACCACTAACACAGTTTACTGTACTGGATGTAATAGTAAATAGATCCTTTAATATCTTATTATTTATATCACTACACCGTAGGTGAGTGACTACACATACATTGTAATTAATAGAATTAATATAATTATTTTGATCATTGCATATAGGGATATTTGATCTATTCACTATATCAGCGAAACTGATCAGCGAAAGTGAATCTCACTTCCAACAAAGGCCTCAGCTGTCACTAGTCTAGGTCCATTTCACACTCGCTATAAACACTAGCTGACATAGGTCCCTTAAGGCAAATTGCACCATGAATAACCTACTATGTTGGCCAAGACCTTGGTGCTTTCAAGCTGAACATAGTGAAGTGACCCAGAACTTTGGATTAAAGGTTTTTAGTCTCAGAGCTGCTAGTGGCTGACAGCAAAACCTCTATGGGTACTACAATTGGCTAACTCGATATAAGACCAGAGTTAAACAAAATAACCTGGGCAAGAGGTTTTTAATCATAATCAATTTCTAAGTTCCCGACAATTTTGAAATTGTTACTCTGTCCTGTAAACTACATTAATGAATTTTGTGTTCCAGGTGATACTGGTGAAATGGAACGAACCGTATCAGAAGTTGGTCTCCTGCGACAGTTCTGGCGTGATCTTCGTGTGGATCAAGTTCGAGGGAAGATGGAGTATAGAATTGATCAACGACAGAAGTACCCCAGTCACGCATTTCTCGTGGTCCCACGACGGTCGAATGGCGCTTATATGCTACAGGGTAATTCGATCTGTCAAACATAGACTCTAAATACGTGTCGAGGTTATTGATAAACTTCTTCTTTTCCAAAAATTCTGCTAGGCTGTTGTGGATTAATATTATTACATATCGTAGGAATACATAGAATAGTGTGTTCAAAGAACATTGTCCTGAATCAAATTCGCTGAAAATTGTAGAAGTACATAGAAAATATATTTCTGAAAATCCAGTTAGACTGTCAGAGATCCAATTCGTCAGAAATTATAGGGATAAGTGTCATACTCTCTTTGAAAAATTCTCTTGGATCATCATAAACTAGACTGGTTAGGAATGCGTAGAAATCTGTGGAAAATTATGTTCTATGAACTTTGTTAAAATTCATCAGATCGTAAAAATGGGATGGAAAATTCTGTTCTGAAGATTCTTTTAAAGTATCACGAGCTAGAATCGTTAGAAATCGTATAATACATGGGAAACTCTGTTACAAATGTTTTGTTAGAATATCATAAGTTAAACTCCTCAAAACATAGAAGGCTACATAGAAAATTCTTTTTAAGAAACCCTGTTAAAGTGTCGTAGGTCAAACTCGTTAAACAACAAAGAGCTATGAAAAACTCTTTTTAGAAAACCCTTTTTGAGTTTTACAAGGCAAATTTGTTAGAATATTGTAAGGATGCATGGAAGAATCTGTTGTAAGAACTCTGTGGCAGTTAGATAAATTAAATTTGTTAGAAATTATAGCATAACCAACCTCGAACTGCTGAGCTTGGCTGGCACGTTCTCTTGGCTTAATAGACGTTTATAACTATTAAACCAAAGCAATTAAAGTGACTTGTCTCAGACTACTAACTCTTGCAGCTGCTTTTGACAAAGTTGATGTTGATTGAATTACATCTCTCCTTTTCTTTTCATCACATTAATCTTGCCACTTTAATAAATATTAATTGTACTCTGTATTCAATTACAAATTACAAATCGTTAAACACAGTTCTAATATTCGGTATACTATTATTCCAAAAAGTTCCACTTACAAATACAGTATAATATTTAATTTCTTGAAATTAAGTAATACACGCGAAACATATTCTACATTCGGTTAATCAAACATCGCGTAATCTACGTTCCACTGTATTTCACTTATTCAAAGTTCGAGACACGAGCGCTCGAAACTCTCGCGAGCGACCGTGACCGTAAGTACGCAACGCCATCTGTGCCGAGGCGTCGCGGCCGGCGTGGCGTCTACAGCCCGTATCTCTCTACGCACCAGTCACCGCGTAACGCATAAACAAACTCTGTTCGAAAATGAAACGAAGAGATCTAAATTCTACCGAAATGCCCGCGATAGTTGAATCTGTTCCAATTCGCAGCTTCCACTCGTATAAGCGCCATGTCCAACGCGCCATATTCTCGGTACTCCTGAATCGAGGATTGAAAATCTGACGCTTCTGTGACTTTATGATCCATGCGATTCAATGGGTCGAGGGAATCGACGATAATGGACAGTGGAGAATATAGGGTAGGATTTTATTAAAAGGTCGACGATGCGTAGAAATCTGTATCTTGAATTTATGCGGTCATGAAGATTGAATCGATGAAGTAGCCTCTGATGAAATGATAAGAAATATATTATTATGTTGATTATGCGCTGGGTGAAATGGCTATTCATTCGATGAATGGTGTATACACGTGGAGTTACACAGTATAGCTGTTGAATGATCTGCATGGACATTGTGTAGGCCCTGTTTGGATTGTGCTGCCATTGTTGAGTTCTGGAAATGCTGCAATTTCGTACTGTTTCGTGAGTTTTGGTGTTGAAATTGTAGAAGAGGAAGTCAAATCTGGTTTATGGTAAATGATTTATGGAGCACAGGATAAATACTTCGTGAATAGTACCTTGAGTTTAATTTAAAAAAGTTTGGTAATTGTCAAAAAAATTTTGTAGCTTCAAACTGGCTGCAAAAATTGTAATGCATTTACTAATAAAAGTTAAGAAACGAAATAATTTCTTGCAAATTTTTGTATGTTATTTATTTTCTGAGGCACATAGATCGAAGTCAAAAATATGATCAAAAATCAAGTTTTTCTCGAATATTTCGTATAAAGCTTATTTCTAATTTTGTATTTCAGAGAGCAAATAAAAATTCGCAAATTGTTACTTTGTTTTATACCTTTTGTCAAAAAATGTATAGTAAGTGTATACCAATTTTACAAGTATACGGTACATTTAATATGTAATTAAATTAGTAATAAATAACTAATAAATAATAATTGAATAAATGGTAAATAAATAATAAATAAAGATTTAGGGGAAATGCAACCTTTTTTATTTTGCAATAATTAGCGTATAGTATCTGGCTATTGAATTAGGATCACTTACTCAAATTTCACTTTTGACTGTAACGTTATGTTATAAATGATGAATGATCCTTCACTAACCAAATTATTATTAAATATATGGTCCATAACGTACACATTTAGTATACCACTGTCATACTAATGAAATTCCCATAGATGTAGGGTGATTAACGACTGAGCATGCTTGTGCATGTCAACTTAGCAACAGTAACTACGTGAATCGAATTAAAAATGGGAATTAGAGATATATGACAAAATAATGAAGACATGTAGAAAGAAATCAGGAATCATTAAATGCATTAGAAATTTCATTTATTTTCGTAACCATCATTGAAGGATTAATCTATATTTTTATTAAGAACCATTTAAACCTTTCAATTTTGCACAAAATATGAAAATTAGTGTTAATATATTATAATAATAATAATAATTTGATAAAATTAGAATGATGCTTCGAATCATTCTTATAATACACAATTTCTATAATTAGTCAGTCATTTTACTATTCAACATACTACTCTATACACTGTAATATTGAAAATACTGAAATTGAAATTTGATAAAAAAGAAATATTTATAATAGTATAAGAGAATGAAAAATTATTTTACATTATAATTTAAAGTATAATTTTTCTTATAGGATGGTTTCGTGCTGGTTGGCAGCGTTGGTGGCCAGAGGTATTGGTCATCGATGCTGAATGACAAAGCTACGATCACGTGTGGTATTTGGACACCGGATGACCAACAGGTAATTCATATTCAACATTGTTATCAAATTATATTTTTTACATAATAATTATTTAATAATTATAATATCATAATCATACATTCAATTATATCTTATATATCTTTATTTACTTTTATTACACGTTTAATTGAACTTTATCAAATTAAATTAGATTAAATATATTTCTTTTTAAGTATAAAGCATCGTCATACAGGGAGATCAAAATGTATATGATTATATATGAAATTAATTAACAAAC